GAGCACTGACACAGTAGGAGGTGCTCAGCAAGTACCGAACGAATAAATCAAATTCATAGGTTGACACATACAAAAAAATTTTAGCACATTAAGGACTTAAGACAAAATATGAAACTTGTCAACTTTATATTGAAAAGGCTTTAATATATTGGTATTTACATTTCATACATACTACACACACACTCCCATAAATATACCGTCACGTCTGATTCTACATAACCAGTTCCTTTCCCCAACCTAGCACAATCCTACAGCAATTCTTTGCTGTGACATATACTGCTCACATTGAGTCCAAAGAAACTAATTACCCCTCATCATATAAATTCACATGCCCACAGACAGACAGGAAATTTTTTGGGAAGAACATAAATAAAACAGTTATTAGCATTTGTAAGGGCAGGACAGTGTTGCAGTCTGAACTGTACTCCCCCAAAATTCTTATGTTGAAGCCATATCCTCCAGGATCTCAGAATGTGACTATATTTGGAGATAAGGCCTTTGAAGAGATAATTTAAGTTAAAATCGGGTTGTTAGAGTGGGCCCTAATCCAACATGACTGATGTCCTTCTAAGAAGAGGTTAGGACACAGACGACACAGAGGGACGACCTGGTGAGGACACAGGGAGAAGGCAGCTGTCCACAAGCCAAGGAGGGAGGCCTCAGGAGAAACCAGACCTGCCAACACCCTGATCTTGGATTTCTAGCCTCCAGAATTGTGAGAAAATAAGTTTCTACTGTTTAAGCCATCTAGTCTGTGGTGTTTTGTTATGACACCCAAGCTAATAGAGACAGCGTCCAAGAATTTATAGAACTTAAATTTCCTAAACATGTACGTGGAATTTTTTTTTTTTGAGAAGCCAGGAGGGCTTTGGGGATTTTCATTTCCTTCTTCATGTTGGTCTATATTTTAAAACCTTTAAAAATGCTATTAAATTAAATGGCATTTACTGAATACCCCAGACATCAGAGTTTACCATACGCTGCCACAAAAATTGTATTTAAACTTACTACTTATCATGTGAAACAAAATAATACACTATGCTAAAATTAGATATTTTTACCAGCTCCAAAAGGAACTGGTGGAGGTAAAAACTGGAGAAGAACACTGCTGTTAAACATTTCCCTGGAGATGAGACAACTAACAGTTACAAGCACAAAACCTTGTCCTGGAGTTAAAGTCATTATAGGAAACAGGCACCACAGGACGGACTCCAGGAGCTAAGCATCTTAGGCATCATCCTTTAGTTCTTCCAACAACTCGGTGCAGGTGAGACTGAGCCCCCGTTTTTCAGATAAGGAGACTCAGGCTCTGAGAAATGAAGCCACTGGCCAAGGTTACACAGTGAGGAAGTGCCGAGACTCGATCCCAAGTCCGTGTGTACTACAATCCCACGCTGCCTGGTGCTAAGAGCCCCTGAGTGCTTAGCAGGTATTCATTTAGCATCTGCTGTATGCACTTTGCTGGATGTATGAGACAGAGTTATGCCCCAAGAAACACAGCCACTACTCCAAGGACTTAGATCTTCCTCTTTAACATTCTGTTGCATGTGCATTTTTCCTATCTCCTCAACTAGATTTTAGAGCTCCTCAAAAGAGTTGTGGTAGAAAAGGAAAAACAAAGAGCTTTGAGTCAAAGTTCTGGAAAAATTCTGGCTTTTTTTCACTTACATAAATTAGTAATTTGGATTCCTCATCAGTAAAAGGGTTGTGGATTAAGTAACATGCATGAAATTGCTGGGAAGAGTGCCTGGTGCAGAGTGGATACTAGATAAATGTTAATGAAACATGAATATTCACTTACAACCTTCACAGAGTTAAGCAAACTCCAAATTCAAACTTTTTATTTCACCAATACTCTAATTTCTCCAATGGCCTCTTCAGGATTCAAAGATTCAACTCATCACTCACTCTACCCCATTCATCTACACTACAACTTAATATTCAAAGCAGAAAAACGAGTATTCTGAATCTTCTTTATAGCATGGCCTTTTATAGTAGTGGTCTCCAAAGTGGAGTTCACCCAGGACACCTGAATGTTCCAAAGGCCTGAAAATATTAATAAAGAATATGATATTTAGCTCTTCTAAAATTTAGCAATCTATATTAATATAAGGGTTGTGACAGACACAATTGATTTCAAAAATAAAAATAAAAAGGATACAGGTGATGAGATTCAAACGCTTTCTAGTGGAGGCATGACTCAAACATAAGTTCAGAGACAACTGCTTTAGAGCCACACTTACAACGTTCCACGTGGGAACTATCACACCAAGTATACTACATTTTATTAACACTGAACACCGCACAAGCAGGCCTAGCAATTCCCCACTTGTGGGCCCCCCTACCCTCGAGCTGCTCCTCCTGCCGGGACATCCGCTAACATGTAACCCCGACCTTCCCAGCAAACACCCACTCGTCTGACCATGTGGTCTTTACTGATCTGTACAGACAAAGGAAGTTAGCCTCTACAAATCTAAAGCTATGAGTTTACAAGTTAAATTATAACACACAGCTAATATAAGGAAAAATGTAGGTACCTTTCCCTTGCTCTAAGATATAACTTCATTAAGAAGAAAACAGTATTATTTATCATTATACACCCCTCAGCATCTCTTGGAAAAACATTCCTCTAGGCAAATTTTGATCAAAAGAAGTTCACTGCATTTAATGCAAACTGAAATGATACTCCTTCTAAACCTATACTTAAACCTTCCGCCAGAAAAGTATTCCACACAAAAAGGACATAAGTGAATGTGTATTTATTTTGAGCCCTAAAACCCTAAATTACCAATTACTGTAACAGTGTTATAACTCTATTCCAATTATAGTACAGAAACTAAACCAGTAACTTTTTAGAGAATGTCTTGTCTTTAAGTACAGAACATGGAATTTAGAAATTATTCTAATGTCCTACCGAAAATACATTAGAGTGGACACTTTGTAAAAAGAAAACTAAATATATTTTCACTTGCTTCCACTGAATTCTCTCTTTTGGCTATGCCGTGATAAGCTATCGTGCAAAAACCGTAAATGTATCTCACCCATCTGTGCCCCGCACCCAATGTATCTCGAGCCTTGGGAAGGCCTCAGAGTGCCCGCCGAACGGTGGAAATGATCCAAACTGATCTACTCACAATTTCTTTTTCAACAATGAAGTGTGTAGTTAAAAGGGGAAAAATACAGCTTTTAAAAATACACCTTCTCTAATATCACACAGGTACTTCACATTGACCCTACTTCCCCACTTATAACTCACCTGATTAGTTATTAATAATCACCCCTTAGTCAAAGGTAAAAACAAGGGGCTACGGATGGAATTGTTCATCAAGTATCTTCAAGGCAGTGTTCTTAGCATTCTACATTCACGATCTCACTGAAGGCTCAGGGTTTAATTAACTTGCCTAAAGTCACATCAGAACCATCCAACTGTACAGCTCCAGGAAGCAGCATTTGCCTGTATTTTATGGGAACATCCCCAGCACCACAGGAATGGAGCTGTGAGATGAAGTGGTCTGGGTCACACAGCTAGTAAGAGTGGGGCAACCATTCTAGAGTAGGGACTGAAAAGTTTGTACCAAAAGCTGAACATCATTGCACACAGAGATAAATTTAATCAAAGCTCAAAAACTCTGCTGTCTGATGAGGAAGAACACACTCAAAATCTTAAAGCCACACTGCATCCCAGGTTGAAACTGAAAGATGAACAATTAATCGTACTATAAAACAAAAATCTCTCATTACATAATAAGCCAACTATCAGCTCTGTTGGTGAAGAGAGGGAGGGAGGGAGGAAGGGAAGGAAAAGTCAATAAACCATGACCACTAAAGAGAGGAGCAGGAAGCAACTGTGAGAAGAAAATCTTACTGAAGAACCTCCCTCAGTGACCGCACATCTTCAGTGCTGGGAGGCAGTAACAGGGAGGTCTCAGGGGTGCAGAGGAATCAGAGTGGTTTTGTTTTTCTCATCCACCCCACTGCTGCCCCTACAAGACCACAGTGATAGTTTTGCAAAGAATGACTAGCCAGCATCCAGGTTAAAGTGACACTTGCACCTAGAGTAGGAAAAATTGTAAATTATGCATCAGTCTCTGCATTCACCTGTCCCTATTTGTAACTTTGAAAGGATTCATTTATTTCAAAATTAGAAAACTTATCTGAGTAAAAAAATCTCACTAAAATATCTGGTTTGGAAATACTTAGACTCCATTGTTACAAGAGCTTATTCTATTAACATACAAAGACTATTGACAAATCACTTAAAAAAAAAAAAAGACCAAGCCAATAGTAAAGAGGGCAGTGACGTACAGAAGTCACTACTGTTACGCAGCCCCTCAACTTGCTCGGGCTGTCGGAGCCCACCCCCCATTATAAGCCCGAAAGGAGCAGATCTGGGCTTTCCTGGCCTCACCTATAGCTACAGCCTCAGCACGTAACAACCACAGCCAATAGGATATGGGGGAAAATCTGCTGAGGGCTTCCAGGGAAGGTTTTGGTTCCAAACAAAAGAGATGTACATGAACAAATGCACTCCATCTCGACCAGCTGCAGTCGTGTGGACTCCTGGAGATGTGAACCCTAACTCCTTTCTCTCACATCTCACACTCGACTCCTCAACAAATCCTTTCAACTCTACCTTCAAAATATATGCAAAATCACTTCTCTGATCTTTTTTTTTTGGTGGTGGTGGTGGGAGAGGGGAGGAGGCAATTGGGTTTATGTACTTATTTTAATGGAGGTACTGAGCACACACTCTACCGCTGAGCCATGCCCTCCCCCTCACTTCTCTGACTTGTATCCTTTTACAAAATACCTTTCACCTGGATGCTTGCAATATTTTCATAACTAGCATGCCTGCTTCAGCCTTTATCCCCTTCATCCCAGACTCAACACAGCAGCCAGCATGAACCTTTTAGAGTTTTAGTCAGATAAGGTCAGTCCTCTGCTCAAAAGCCCCCAAAGGTATCTCTTCTCACCCAGAATAAAAGCCAAAGGATCCCACGATGGTCTATGAGGCCCTACACACTCCGACCCGCTGCTGCTCCCTCCTCCCTGCTCAGCCCAGCCCTCCTTCCACTTCTCCCAACATCCGAGGCGCCCAGCCCAGCCCAGCTCTGCCCCCTGCCATGTGCTCCTACAGCCGGTAAGACTCCCTCCTTAAAATAACCCCACCCAGCCTTGCCCAGCCTCTTCACTGCTTTATTTTTCTGACACATTTTACACCCTTTTGTCTCCTCACTTACCCCCACCAAAGGTAAGCTCCCTGAGGGCAATAAATGTGTTCTGTTTTCCACACAGATAATACATCACATGTTACTTTCCATTGAGGCCATTGCCCGGTACACTGTAAGTGCTCAAGAATTATTTAAGTGAATTAATCAAGCAACCATCAAGGACAAGCTGAAGATTAAAAAAAAAAAAAAGGCAGGAAAGGGGACAGCACATGGGTCCTTGACAATTTCACTGAGCTACTGAATTACATCTGGACTCTGGTCACATGAGGTAAAATCTGGCTCATTTCACCCATTTTAAATTAAGGTTTTTATTATTTGAAGCCAAAAGGTACCTGTACAGAGCATAAGTAGGCAATTTGCAAAAAAAAAGAAGTGCTAATGGCAAATATACTCAATTTAACTCGGTCATAAGACATGCGAATTAAAATAACCACGAAATAATATGTCACCCAGCAAAAACATAATAGAATAATACATGTATGTCCCAATTCAACATGACTCACTAAGACACTAACGGTATTTAGCATTTTTTAAATTTTATAGAAAACCATAAAATTCATAAGAGTATGATATTCCATTGCCTCTATTTTTCCCCGTGCTCTGAATGTAGACAAGACAGTTCACTCTTGACCAGCACTGTAAAAACAGTAGTTAACCCTGACGGGGTACTACTCCACCCCACCTACATGCTATCCACTTTTACATGCATCACTCATTGCCCATTACAACCCTACAAAACACGTACTACTGTTATCCCATTTTATTATTTTTTTTATTGAGGTATAGTCAGTTTACAATGTTGTCAATTTCTGGTGTACAGCACAATGCTTCAGTTATACATGAATATGTATATTCATTTTCATTTTTTTTTACCATAAGCTACAAGATATTGAATATATTTCCCTGTGCTATACAGTATAAACTTGTTCATCTATTTTATATATACCAGTCAGTATCTGCAAATCTCGAATTCCCAGTTTATCCCTTCCCACACCCCCTCCCCCTGGCAACCACAAGTCTGTAATCTACATCTGTGAGTCTGTTTCTGTTTTATATATAAGTTCATTTGTCTTTTTTTTGTTGTCTCATTTGAAAGTTGATGAAACGAAGGTACAAGAAAGATTAATGATCAGCCCCAAATCAAGTAGGTACTAAGTTATAAGGCCAGAATTTGAACCTAGGCATTTTGACCACCAGAACCCAATAAGCAGAGTTTTCTCCCAAACTGAATGTGTTGTGCAACACATTAATTCCACCCGTGCCTCCTTCCTGACATTTACTTTGTGTTTGGGTTTGGACCCATAATGACTCAAGAAAAGATATTCAAGTGACACTGCCAAACTTACTAGAAAGAAACACTTTGACAGAAAAAGAAGAATGAAAAGACAAAGATTGGTATAAGTCCTTTGTCTCAGTTTTCTCAACAGAAAAAAAAATGGGAATAATAACAGTATTTACTTTTAGATTGCTGGTGATGATTAAACAGATAATACAGCACATGTGAAGCACTTAGGATGGTGCCTGGCATACAATGAACAATCAATAGCTTTTACTTTCATCATCATTATCATAATTGTGATGAAGGGCTTCATAAATGTCATTGAAGTTAGAAGGACTGACCAACAGCTATACATCTGGTAGCTGAAAAGAACTACAGCCAGAGACACGTTACGACTTCAGTGATACCGAAAAGAAAGGACGAAAGATTTTCATTCTGGGAAGAGAGTGCTTAAGTGACTTAGAAAACGTCTATTAGAACTACCATTCCCATTTTCAGAAATGTAAGCCCTGTCCCCATCCCCAGCATGTTGCTGGCGAGGATGCCAGGGGAAAAGATATACTCTGCTTTGGGAGTCTAAGTCAATACCTCATTTTCAGAGGGCAACTGGTCAGTACCTATCAAACCTCGAAACACATGTACTCTTTGATAAAAGAACTCTTCATCTAGGAATTGACCTTCTCGGATATGTCAACAAGTAAAATATACAAGTACAAGGATGTTCACTGAAAGATATCAATAAAATTAGAACTCAACTAAGTGATCATCAATAAGGGAATAGTTAAATTAGGATACCTCCAATCCAGTTTAAAACCCATTTATTTCTCCACTAGGTTCTCTAAGTTAAATGACACTACTGGCCACCCAAGCTTCTGAAGCCAAAAATCTAGGCAACAGCTCTACTTTTTCACATACACGTCTCATCAGACCTTCAGCAGATCTTACTTATCATGTGAGCTTTCAAAACATGTATGAAACCTAATCACCTTGCTCCTCCGTCACAAGCCTACTCTAAGCCAAGAATCTGCCAAGGTTGCTTCAACAGCTTTGTTGGTCCCCCGGTTTAAAATCCTCTAGTGGCTTCCACAGCCCTGAGAATAAAATTTCTGCTCCTCACAAGGGCACGCAGGGCACCATGTGATCAGGCCCCTGCTTACCTCTCAGACATATCTCCTAAGCTCTCCTCAGTGTCCAGTAACACCAGCCTTTTATTCTGAGAGGCAGGAGGGTCCCTTGAGTATGACACACTCATTCTCGTTTCACAATGAACCACGTTCTTCCTAAATTTTCTCATAAATGCTTCCTTGTCATTCAGGTCTATTTCAGTGCCATCACTTCAGCAAGACCTGCCTGACTACCTCACCACGTGCGTTAATGTCTCTCAGAACCATTAACAGATACTCTCAATACCATTACCAGAGCTTATTTTCTTTACGGTATTTGTCACTGTCTGAATTAATTAGAAGGAATGCATTTATTTTGTTTCTCTCACCATTGAAATATCCGTCCAATGAAACAAAAGGCTTGGTCTCTCTTGTTCATCACTGAATCCCCAGAATCTAGAACACTCCTTGGCATAAGCAGTCACTCATATCGGCTAGATGAATATGATGCAGTTTTGAAAAAAAATGATATTGATGTGTATGTGCTAAAATGAAAAATGTCCAAGATAAACTGTTAGGTGTCAAAAAAAATCACAAAGCAATACATACAAATGATCCCATTGGTGTGAAAACGAATATAAACACATTACGTACAAACAGAAAACACATATGCATAGCAAAAGTCAATAAGATGCAAGATAAAGAGTTCACAGTAACTCTCTCTGAAATAAGAGGCCGAAGAGTGGGGAAGAAGGCCTGACCCTTTAATTACGCTCTCCTGAGCTGTCTGGATATTTTTACCAGTATGCACGACATTCACAACTTTTCTGTGACACGTCTCCTAATCCTCCACCTGCTGTAAAAGGCCCAGCACACACAGCGGGGACTCTCTTTTCTAAATGCCCAGAACACTTCACAACACATTCTGAAACACTGAATAAATAAACATTTGAATATTTATTAGCTTTTCCTCCAGTGTAGCCTAAAAATTAGAGAATCTCTGGTTCAAATAGCAGACCAAAAGTACAAATTTTATCTCCCTCAATAAAAGATCATTTAAATGGGAGTAAAAAAAAAAACTTTATAAAACAGAACTATCATTTTTAAAATGATATAAAATGGAGAGATCTTTTCTAAAGAAAAGAAATCCCAGGCTGGGGAAAGGAACTGGTGAAACTAGCATGGGGGTTGGTGCTGTGGAGTAAAACAGTGGAGTCCAAACATCAGAACACAAGGAATAATTATCAGCTTCACCCTAATCATTAATTTCCACCACGAATTCACTGTGAGCCCTTCTACTAGTTCTTAAACATGAGTGATAATCAAAGATCAGCAAATGTTTCATTAAAAAGCCTACAACATAAATGAGACCAAGATAAACAACAATTACCCTGGAGCAAACAGATAAGGGGAGGTAAGGACTTCAAAGAAAACTGTTAACATTTCCAAAGAGATTCAAGAAGATTATGAATCTATAAAATGGAAAATGGATGGCAGCGGGGTGGGGGCAATTCTTGTAAATTTAAATATGACTGCTAAAGTAAAAGTAAAGAGTCTGAGAATTAAAATACAGGAAATGCCCAGAAGAATAGAACAAAAAGAGCAAGGGGAAGAGGGGAAAGAAAAATTAATTCAGGAAGTCCAAAACCAACTAAAACAAGTTATACAGAGAATGAAGAGATAATTAAAGCAACAATAAGACAATTTCCAAGAACTGAAAAACATGAGCCTTTAGTTTAGTAATAATGAAAAAGAATCACCTCTAAACATTCTGAGAAATTTCAATTTTAAAAGGACAAAGGGGGAGGGTGGTATAGCTCAACGGTAGATTGTGTGCTTAGCATGCATAAGGCCCTATTCAATCCCCAGCACCTACGTTAAATAAACAAA